AGAACAGGGCGACGAGCCAAGGGCCCAAGCTCACATGCTTTAGCTGTACGCTGCACATCGCTGTACGCATTCATTTTTACAGTGAGATGCTAGGTTCAAATCACCTCAACGGATGTACGCTAAGCCATGCTGAACAACGCAGTTGCTTTGCCCAAAGCCAAATCCAGCTGACTATTGCACCTCATCAGATGTGCAACTTGTTGATGGCAATTTTTTGCTTTCCTTGTACAGGGTGTCACGGTCTTCCTGCCAAATGCCGCCGAGGCGCGTTTTCCTGCGGCGCTTCTTTCGCTCTCAGGATGGAAAGCCGGCAGACACCAAGTGCCCTGACAAACGCGTGCTTTTGCGGTCACGCGACACGAGTAGGCACGAGGAGTGCCACTTGCCCGATAGTTGTCATTCGCAGCCTGTGAGGTATTGCCTCACTGAAAGCTTCTTTGAGCTCTTGGCCGGGCTTTTATCGTCGGGCGGCCCGGCTCATGTGACGGTGTCCGCGGAACACTTGGATGACGCTCCCAAGGCTTTGCCCTGCCCATCGGATGACTGCCGCAAGAAGCCAAGTGGCAGAATTGGATGGTGAACTTCTTGAAATGGAAACAATACGAAGGCGGAGAAGACATGGTATTGAAGTAATCATTATATATGTTTCTCTGGCGTGTTTATGCATCTGACTTCTGACCAAGACTTTGGATTTCAGTCGAAAGCTAACACTACAAACAGATGAGACAGCTTTTCATGGGAGATGCAAGGGCAAATTCTGCAAAACTGTGCCCACCAAGCTTGCTCTTCTCAGCTGCGCTCCTAGGCCGAGGCTTTGCAACATCCCTTTTTCACCAAGGCCAACTTTAGGGCTTTAGGGTTAATGTGGCATTCATGAAAAAGAATGAAACATAACAACTGAAAAAAATAAACAAAATACACATACATATCATATCTACTTGTTTCTGGGTGGTTATCGGTTTTTCTTTGGGTCTAAGAACACATCATCTCTGACGCTAGGAGAAACCAGTGCCAGAATGGCACGCCTGGCATTGGGCCTTGGCCTCCGCCGAAATTCCTCGTGGAGCCTGGAGCCCGAGAAGCGCCACAGACCTCGTTGAACGCTCAAAGAGAAACACAACACTTTCTTGCAAAGCATTCTTTGGCAGTAAGTTTAGTTCCTTTAGTCTACGATCTGAAGCCTTTCCGGGATCCAAGGCCCCTTAGTCTAAGGCCTTTCAGCAGAGTTCTTGCCGGACTTTCCAGAGCTGAGAAGTTGAACACGCACTTTGCTGTGAAGGGTCTGTGGTAGGATATCGCACAGCCAAGGTCTTCAGGATCCCCCCACAAAACCTTCCGCTTTCCAGCAGATATACACCAGTCATTTGCCGACTTCCTGGCCAACCTTCGTCCAGGACAAAAAGGCCAAGGCGGAGGAGGATGAGGCCGGACGAAATCGTAGGTTTGACAGTGCATCAAAATCCACCAAAGAGAACTTGTTGACCTTGGGACCTTAGGGGACCTTAGGACCTTGGTTCTGAGTGGGTGGTTGATGGACATACCAAACATTGACAGACCGAGGGGTCCTGATTCTGCTCAGACGAAGAAGCTGCTGAAGCAACTCTCGCGTGAGGAAATGGGCGCTGGAGGTGAGTTCATGGCAGCAGTCTGGAAGTTCGTCTCCATTTTTCCAGAAAAGGCACTCATGAAATGTCATGAAATATCATTGATCCTCATGAACCTTCATCGTCAATAGGATCTACAGTTGCTAAGTGCGTGACCATCCCATGAAAACAAAACAGCGATGAGATTGCTCTTGAGCTGAAGTGGCGGTGGGAGCAGTGAAAGGTGGATGTACACTGTATACCGCACCAGTACTTCTTGAAGCACATCGCGCACTTTGTTGTTTTTGTGAAGACAATGGCAAGTGCAATACGATGACATTTTTTACAACTCATTCTTTGAACTCAAGTGTTTGGCCACTTGTTTGGTGCCAGCACTTGTACCCGTGTCAAAATTAGCACACCTTTTGCAATTGGGATCGGGGAGAATCAGATTTTTACTTTCTTTTTTTTCCAAAAACCAATGAACCAATGAATAGTGTCGGCATGAGCTATCCTGCGTGCAGTAGCTGGTAGTTTGTTTTGCCCTTACTTAATTATGTAGGCGCCTACTTAATCAAGCAAGCAAGGGCGGGCTTTAAAAGAGGTTGAACTTTTTTGACCAGGTGAGGAAGACAAGGGCCACAGCAAGGCTCGACTGGGGAAGTGGACGGCCAGACCAGGGGCAATCAGATTTGCAATCTATCGCCAATGAGGCGCAAAAGGTATTAGGTTGGAGACCATCGCTATTAGGGTGGAGGCCATTCTAAATCAGATTCGCCAGGGAGGTGCAAAAGCTGTCTTGGAGAAATGGAAGGAGCAGGCTGAGAAGCGGCAGCAGGAGGCCATAAGAGCCAGTCGCACCCATGTTTGTTGCTGTTCTTTTCTTGCTTCTTTAGACCCGTTGACGTCTTATTCAATTCTTTGGACCTTTAGGCCTGTTATTTTCTTAAAATCACAGCGCACCCGGTGTCGCAGTTTTAAGCAGTTTTGTGGAAGAATTTCGCAGCTCGTAGACCGATACATCCAGAAAGATTTGGTGTCGCTGGTGACAAGGAGCTGAAACGAAGCTCCTCGACAAAGTCTTTGAAGGCCCCGATGGCTTGGATATCATGGGTGTGAAGGAGATAGCAACCAAGGCCTGAAGGGGTCCTTGATATTGCCCAATTTCTACATGCCTCAGCAACTCTTAAGGACGCTAGGAACAAAGGGCATCGCTACTAGGAGAAAGGACGCTACTAGGGGCTCCTGGCCTTACTACTAGGAGCAAGAAGCTACTAGGAACAAAGGGCATTGGTACTAGGAGCTATGAAGAGTTTTCTAGGTTGACGGTACTGTCGCAATTCTTGTGTTCCCCGCAGTATTGCCAGCCCCGCTACTAGCTCTACCGCCTTCCACCAGCCATGACTCAGCCATGCGACTACGACCGAGAAGATGTGTGCTGACTATTAGTTATAGCGAGGTGTTTCGTTTTCTTCTATAAGACGTGACTAGTTTAACAATGAAGGCATTAAGGATCATCTTGACAATGCTCTGTTTCTTGAATCATTCAACATATTTCCTATCAGCATAGAACACAGATACTGAAACACATTTATGGTCTGTTCGCGTACATTTCGATGCTTGGTGCGTCAGACTCGTGTCCAACTGAACTCAATTAGAATTGCCTGAAGAGGGTCTTTACAGGAGCTTATGTAAGATGTAAGATATAGGTCATTGCTATTAGGTTAGAGTCGGCAGGTTGTAATCTTCCGTCCAAATGTCCTGCTTGTGCGATTGCTTCTGTGGCTAGGCAGTTGAGGTGGAGGTTCCTGGATGGACAAAGCACTGGTCCAGCTCAAAGCAGCTTGGAATGCAGTTTGCAATTTCGCACTTTGTTGTCATAGCTTCGATTCACTTCACATGCGATGTATTTGCATCTTCTTTAATCACTACTTCACAATCTTGTAGTGTATTCACTTAGTGCACGGGTTTCCTCTAACGCTCAAAGGGGAATGGCTCTTGTTCAAGCACCGTCTCCAGGTTATGAGGTTTCAGGTTCCGATTTTTTTCAAATGAATTTGCAAATCCAACATTTGGTGCCATTGGAGGTGAATGTAGTGCACAGCCTCAATCATTTTTATGTTCGAGTTTGCAGAGAGACGCTGTTCTCGGCCAGCGGCTAGCTGAAGCGTCGATCAGTGCGAAAGGCAGCGGTACTATTTCCACAACAGCAAGACAGGTGCTCCGAACTGAGTTCTGCCTGAGGATTTTCTCTCATTTGGAGCAGTCGATGTACGCAGAAAGTTGTTCAGCCTTTCAGAAAGATAGGGGCCTCTTCATTGACGCATTTAAACACTTCCAGATTCAAGAGGAAATTCAATGGAGTTTTGCGGTGAACCTTTTGACTATGAAACAACTCCCTATGGGGATCTTGGGCGCGCCTATTGGGGTAGCTAGCTGGGCCCATGCATGTTATGACCCAGGCCGAGAATTCTATCGACATGCCGAGTCTGACATGTTCACCGTTTTGGACTGAGCGCATGGACCGAGCTCTTCACCTTGGGCGCTTTTTTTCAGGCTCATCAACTGCAGAGGAAACAAATACAAAATATGGCTCCACCCCATGGAAGGAAAAACACATTAAGGCTCAGATGAATCCATCGATGTCAACTTCCAATTTATCCAATTTTTGAAGGCCATGTGTTGAGGAATTCCTTTTTTCCATCATTGAATGAAAGGCTAAGTAAGGCTAAGACGAGGCGTGGCCAGTTGAAAGTGAAAGCCAATGAAAGCAAAGGACTGCCATCCTTCAAGTCCATCGTTGGATTCAAGGCTTCTTTTTCCAAAGGGCACTTTGGTGACTTCGACTGCCTGTACGCGCTGCCATGAATGGCAAAGAGCGGTCGGCATGGTCTTCCAAGATGCCCAAGGCGTGGATAAACGAGGGAAAAGGAAGGTAAGGACACCTTACAAAAAACCCGGTGTAAATGTTTTTTGGTTCCTTTTTGGTTGTTGTATTTTCAATCTCAGACATCCAAATCTAGTGGAGATAGGGAAGGGCGTGGAATGTCTTGGAAGAGAATTGTTTACTACCGTTGCGACAGGTTACTACAAAGCATTAGGTCTGGGATGCCTTCATGGACCGCGAGTAATCAGAACTCTACTTTCATATTCCTGTATACACACGTATAGAGAGTCCGTATGATTGAGTTCCAACAAACCGCTTTCTTTCCAGCCCCTTGCTGTAACACGGCAGAGCCCTGGGGATGATGTCATGTCATGCATACATGGCAAAGATTTAGTTGACTGGTGAAGTTGGCCATTCCCATGAAGCCATTGAGCCATTCCCATGAAACTGATTCACACATGCCTCCAACCAATGGCCACAGCCTTGTTCATTTGCCGGATTCTGCAAGGCTGTGGACTTCGAGGACGACCCCCCCGGTAGCTCTGGACGACACTACACTGTTGGGTGCTGCACCCTCCCGTAGCGCGCCCCAGCTGCCACAGCGGGAGACGGTCTTCGGCTTTGGTGCAGCAAGGCGGCATCTCTCAGAGCAGTTCCGCAACCTTGTGGACCAGCTGGTGGAGGTCTGGGCGCATGGGAGCCTGCGGGCTTGCTGTCTTGTCAATGATCCCCTTAGTAGGTCAAGGCCAAACAGCTTTCCCACTTTGAGTGAGCAAGACTCTTTTTACAAACTTTTAGAACGACTCGCTGTTTGAACCTTTTGGCCTTACTACATACAAAAGCACTTTCTTGGACTTCATCCAAGAATGCTGCTGGAACGGCACAGACTCACCCTAGACAGGTCCACCTCACTGAGCTGCAGCTGGAACGACGCCCGCCAGAACCTTTGGACGGTGGTCCAGGCTGAACCGGGACAGGAGACTCAGGAGACGTTCTTAAGCTACTAGTAACTACGGCATCGCTACTAGTAGCTTTTACTTACTAGTAGTGAGGCCAGGAGCCTCTACTAGCGTCCTTGCTCCTAGTAGCAAGGCCAGGAGCCCCTAGTAGCTTCTTAGTAGCGTCCTTGCTCCTAGTAGCAAGGCGAGCCCCTAGTAGCTACTAGGGGGGTCGGGGGGTCCCTTGTGTAGCGCGTTTTGGGTCGCTTGTGCGTCGCGTCTACTACCACTACTACTACTACTACTGCTGCTGCTGCTGCTACTGCTACTGCTACTGCTACTGCTACTGCTACTGCTACTCCTACTACTACCACTACTACTACTACTACTACTACTCCTACTCCTACTCCTACTCCTACTACTACTACTACTACTACGACTACTACTACTACTACTACTACTACTACGACGACGACGACGACGACGACGACGACGACGACGACGACGACGACTACTACTACTACTACTACTAACACTGCCACTACCACTACCACTACCACTTCTACTATACGGATGTCCACCGCGCATTCCTTCAAAGAGACACCGCCAACCCACCCCACCCGGATGTAAGATGTGATGATGTGGCCACGTAGGCCAACCACTTCTCACCATCATTTCCCATCGATGCGCAAGTGACCCACTGGGTCGATGCGTAAGTGACCCTCCGATGCGCAAGTGACCGATGCGCAAGTGACCCATTTTGCGATGCGCAAGTGACCCTTCTGCCTACTAGGGGCCCCCAGTAGCTTCTTGTTACTAGTAGTAAGGCCAGGAGCCCTTAGTAGCTTCCTAGTAGCGTCCTTGCTCCTAGTAGCAAGGCGAGCTCTTCTTACTAGTAGTAAGGCCAGGGCCCCCCTGGAGCGTGCTAGTAGCTTCTTGTTATTATTAGCAGAAAGGCCAGGAGCCCCTAGTAGCGTCCTTGCTCCTAGTAGCAAGGCCAGAAGCCCCTCGTAGCTCTTTTTTACTAGTAGTAAGGCCACGAGCCGCTGGTAGCGTCCTTGCTCCTAGTAGCAAGGCCAGGAGCCCCTAGTAGCTTCTTGTTACTAGTAGTAGGGCCAGGAGTCCTTAGTGGCGTCCCTGCTCCTAGTAGCAAGGCCAGGAGCCTCTAGTAGCTTCTTGTTACTAGTAGTAAGGGCAGAAGCCCCTAGTAGTGTCCGTGCTCCTAGTAGTAGCAAGGCCAGGAGCCCCTAGTAGCTTCTTGTTACTACTTGTTACTAGTAGTAAGGCCAGGAGTCCCTAGTAGCGTCCTTGCTCCTAGTAGCCAGGCCAGGAGCCCCTAGTAGCTTCTTGTTATTGGTAGTAAGGGCAGGAGCCCCCAGTAGCGTCCTTGCTCCTAGTAGCAAGGCCAGGAGCCCCCAGTAGCTTCTTGTTACTAGTAGTAAGGCCAGGAGCCCCTAGTAGTGTCCGTGCTCCTAGTAGTAGCAAGGCCAGGAGCCCCTAGTAGCTTCTTGTTACTACTTGTTCCTAGTAGTAAGGCCAGGAGTCCCTAGTAGCGTCCTTGCTCCTAGTAGCCAGGCCAGGAGCCCCTAGTAGTTTCTTGTTACTAGTAGTAAGGCCAGGAGCCCCTAGTAGCGTCCTTGCTCCTAGTAGCAAGGCCAGGAACCCCTAGTAGCTTCTTGTTACTAGTAGTAATGCCCTTGCTACTAGGAGACGTTCTTTTGACTCAGGAGACTCAGGAGACCGCGTCGTAAACGACAGAGCGCAGCTGACTGCTTCTCCGAAATTCCTAGGAGATCAGATTGACCAGACTTGGAGACATCCTGCACTCTTCTCTTGCTTGCGCGCGGTTTGTCACACTCATGTAGGTCCGAGTTTTGATGGGATTCGTGCACATAAACAGACAAACGAAGACTCTAAGAATACAATCATTGTCGTAACAATTTTTTGGTACGAGAACCAAACTTGTTTAACACATAGAAACCATATTATCAAACATAAATATCACGAGGCCACCAACATAAATATGTTCAACATTCTTTCAACATAAATATGTTGAACCACCCTTTACAATTCGCCACGATTCGACGCGACGATGCCCTCGTTTTCAGGTGGGGCCAAGCCTCGGCGCTCGTCGAAAATCGAAAAGATTGAGCGATCGGGATCGCAGCTTCATCTGCAAGTCATACGGGAGGTAAGAGCAATGGCCTCCAACCTAATAGCGATGGCCTTTAACCTACTAGGTATTCCAGGTCTTCAAATCGAGATCATACATTTTTTTCCGGATTGGCCTTGAGTGGAGAGAGTCTTTTCAAGTTTTCAAGTTCCGTGTTGACGAATTCTTCTTCATCCAACTGGCAGATCTTCCCTGACAACAGATTGCTTGTGTTGGATGAGTAGACTGATTTAGTAGTCAAGGAGGTATCATCCGCCTCAAAGTGTCAAGAGTGACCTCACTCAGCACGACCTTTCACTTTCCTTCGCATCCATGGTATACTTTCTGACTTAAATCCAGTTTCTGATGACTCTTGATGGACATTGGATTGTTTGAATGTGATGCGGTGATTGAGGCAATCATCTGAGCAACCTGGCTGAACAATATAGAACTGACTTTATGACCAACGACCTGTTGTGCTGGGCTTTAGACCACAACTCCTTGAATAGGCTCGTTGGTTGCTGGGAGAGGTGGATCATGTTTCATTGCCCAACAGCAGTGGTGCGAGATTCCTTTTCAAGGCCTTGGGAAACACCCCTCAAGGCCCCAAAGGCAAATGGTCGTTTTGCATTCTTGTATGTGTGTGGTGCTCATGGTGTGGTCACCACTATTGAAGGTTGTTTTAAATTTCTGCTCCAACAAGCAGTTCCTAAGCTTAACACACCAGGAAAAAGAGTTCCTTGAGCAGTTCCCCCCACGACTGATGCAGGAGGAGAGCCTCTGCCTTTGCGGATGTCATGACCAAGCAGCATGAGAGTTTACCTCAAGTGCATGCGAGCCAAATCTTAGACATTTGGCAGACTCACGAGGACCGCTCCGACCTAGCGATGGCCTCCCAACCTACTAGCGATGGCCTCCAACCAAAGAAGCTCTCATTACCAGGATCCTCACAATTAACAAACTCCTTCTATCAGCATCTTGGAGTGCTGCAGCCGTAAGCATCTCCACAGCCAAAGGATACAAAAGGTTTGCCCAAAAAAGGCTTGTTCGTCAACGTTTTCTAACCCGTAGTGCTGTCGTACTCTTCTGTTCAGCTGCCCGGGACAGGACGAAATCAATTCCATGTTGTGACTGAGCAGCAAGTTGGAAGGACGGAAGTAAGTTGGATAGTGCCTTACTAGTAGTAACAAGAAGCTAGTAGTAGCAAGTGCCACGCTAGTAGTAACAAGAAGCTAGTAGTAACAAGTGCCTTACTAGTAGTAACAAGAAGCTAGTAGTAACAAGTGCCACGCTAGTAGTAACAAGTGCCTTACTAGTAGCAACAAGAAGCTAGTAGTAACAAGTGCCACGCTAGTAGTAACAAGAAGCTAGTAGTAACAAGTGCCTTACTAGTAGCAACAAGAAGCTAGTAGTAACAAGTGCCTTACTAGTAGTAACAAGTGCACAAGACACGGAAGGCTCGGTCTGTGGCCGCCTTTGCCCTTGGGAGCGTACCAATGAAAAAGCTCACCATAGTCCACCCAGTACGCATGTCCAGTGCTTCGCTTTCAGTTTTCGTCGTGGATGACTGGTCCCCAAAAAACATATTCCTGCGATCGTGTTCATCTCCTCGACTCCTTGCTTTCAATGGTACTCTCTTCGCACCTTCTTTCTTGACTCTTCATTGCTCCTTGCAGATGTTTTTTTTTGATTTAATCTTTGACAGTCCCTTTATGTGGGAAACGTACGTTTAGTTTAGATGTGGATTCCTCGATCAGCCTGACGCTCAGATCCTTTGACGGCGAATGGGTGGGCAGGACGGAGGGTTTGGAAGGCGAGGGCGGAGAGCAAATCGTTGGGCTACCAAGGCCAAAAGCATCCCACAAGGTCTGCAAGGAAGAAGCGAGCGATGAAAAATCAAGGGAAGGTCCTTAAGGCCTCACCATGCCTTCCCGTTCTTTTTCTTTTTTTTTGGTTGCTTTAGATCCAAGACACCGAGTCACGTCCAACACTTGAGGCCTTTGAAAGCAGCAGATACAGCTGTAGCCATAGCAATCCGAGGTTAGAAGATGAGACAGCTAAGGTCCTTTGTACCGATTCAACATCTTGACACGTTGCTGCAGGACCAATTCCATGGAGAAGTTGGGCTGCGGCGGCATGGTGGAGCTGGTGCAGTCGGTGTCCTGTCAAGCTAAACGAGTCAAGAAACGAGAAAGACTGGCACAAGCACTTGTGGTCAGGGTCTGCCGCAGCCACAAACCGCCCCTCGCGTACAGGTGGGTTGGTAAGTTACAGTAGTTGGCATTTTGTGCTGCAAAGAAGCATGAGCATCATGTACACCACAAAAGAGAAAATGCACAATGTGAAACTGAAATCGCAAGCACGCCCCAAATTGAGTGGTTTGGATTAGGCGAATTTTTGTGCTCAAGAAAGATCGATCTTATTTAGTATTACTCTGGCAGACAAGCTAGCGGTCGAACCAATTGCGCCACAGCATCAATTCCATATTAGTGTCAGGATCGAAATTGTATAGGTCTTTCTTCTTTGCAAGACCATACGGAACATGCCGTTTTAAACGGCTCTCTTCTCCAATAATTGGTACTTGTCAGGCATCTTAAGGCCATGACATCGTTGGAGCACTCGAGCAGATTTTCACCATACACGGGAGACTAGCAGTTTTTTTTGATCAAAGGAGGACAGAGACTCCGAACCAGAGTGCAGGCGAGAAGTTCAGCAAAGTAGCACTGGAAGAGCCTTGTTTCTTGTAGGTAGGAATATATTTCGCCTATGAACTTGTCTGAATGTGCTTGACTATCCACCGAAAGGATTCGACAATGATTGAAGAGAGATAGATAGATATATATATATTCCTCAACCGGAGCAATCGCACTTTAGGGTCGTCGAGGCTATGGGATATTCATTTATTCCTAGTTCCTGCATTTCGCTGGCAATTATCCCTTTCCCATGAGAAAGACCACTGGGACTATAAATGATATGGCCTAAGCCATTTGATTTAAACGTCGCAAAACAAATCACAGGTAAACACTGTCTTGTGCCTTGAGCAATGGATAGGATTTCTGATCAATTCTTAAGTTTGAGCACTTTGATTGCATACCGCAATACCCTACGTGACATGCGATTAGACTGCGGTGTGCCAGTGTGCTTTTCAACACATTCCAAACATGAAAGGTGAAATATGAGATGCTCATGGCCATTTTCTTGTCTCTGAACATCCTCTGGATGGCTTTCGAGCTTCAAGTTTATGGGACCATGGCTGGAGAGGACCGGCATGACATTGGTATTGTCAAGATATGTCAAGACCTGCTTGGCTTATTTTGACTCTGGAAGAATCCAAATCAGAATCACGCTTCATTGTCAGGCTGCAAGACATTGTAAGGTGTGGCAAGGTGTAGGATGGTCTGCTGTCAGTTTGCGTTTTGCGTTTGAGAGGATTTGAGAGCGGGCGGTCTGATCGATCGCAACTTGAATGGCTGGGAAACATGCTGCTTGGAGCATGTAATCAGAAGGGTGTGCTCGTTTGGGACAAAACTGCAAGAATGAACTCTGAGGTTTCCTTGCCAAGTGTCAGGAGTGTCAGGGAGAACGATTATTTGTCGTTTGCTCTTTAGTTTCACTTTTTGTAAAGGCTTCATGGTTGGGGAGATTGTCTTCACAGTGACCTTTGCGCTGGACGTGTCTTGGCCGTGAATTAAGTTTCCCTAAAAATCTAGGAACCAATTGAATAGGGCGAGAGCCTCCTTGAAGAAGCGTAAGCTATCCTGCGTCCATACTAGTAGCGTTCTTGAAGCTACTAGCTACCTCAGTTCCTTAATTAAGTAGGCAGTCTCTACTCAATGAGTAGGGAGGGGGGGCGAGCGAGCGGGGTAAAAAAGGTTTTTCCTGCAATCCATTTTGCTCTCTCCACGGTGGTCTTGCGTCGAAACTTGAAGGTCACCTTGCGCATCAGCGTCCTTCGATGTTACTTCTGGCGGTCACCGTTGAAGCTTTGGCTTGCAGTGTTGGTTTTCACTAGCGGACACATACCTCTGCATGGGAACTTCAGTTGCTTTTTGGAACACATCAGCCAAGTAGGTCCTGAGGGCATCATCATCAAAAGCTACGCTCAGCGTCTATACTAAAGCTTGGCTATACAGTGTGATACACAAACATGAGGAAACAAATAGCAAAGACTCCACATCGCAGTCGCTTTAGCGCGCCTCAGGAACTACATCGATCTCCTTGTTTCGGTCACGTCCGTTGCAGAGATTGTAGCACCTTGCCGGGCAGACAACTGACCATGCAAGGGATCCAAAGTGGAAGCATGTAGCTGGACACTTTGGGGGGCACATCATAGATCGTCATTCCTTTTTGTCCCACCTTGTTGGATGTGTAGAAAAGGCAATGACCTCACTGCCTATCAGGTCTATTACGCCATCGACCTGCCTGTGAACTCCGTCTTCTTCAGGCTTTTGCGCATTGGAAAGCTGGCACGAGCGATACGAAGCCGGACACAAATTGGTTTCAGCTTGGTTTGCTTGGGTCCTGAAGTCAAACAAGTCAATTATAGTCATTATAGTCAAAAACTACCCGGTGTTGTTCCGATTGATAGGAAGATCCAGTTGTGGACTCTCTCAGAGAAGATCAGAGCATTGTTCCCAGTAACAAGAAGCTACTAGGAGCAAAGGGCATCGCTACGAACGGAGCAGGACTCTACTAGTAGCTCCTGGCCTTACTAGTAACAAGAAGCTACGAACGTAGCATTGTTCCCTTGTTCAGTTTCCGTCAAGGAATGTTTTCGATGACCAGCGTCCTTGCATCGCTGCAATTGCTCATCAAGTGCCTGGTAACTTGGCCAAGCGGGTGGAAAAAGCCATGTCATGGTAGACCTTAGACCCCAAACATATCCAGATTATTTACTGTATTGCAGTGGTTAGAGTAGCCTGCCCCAAAAGACAGCTCCAAATCCGAGTTGCAGGGATTGCTATTGATTGCTCGTTACTATTGACATCTATTGACCTGAAAGGAGGCCAAACTGCCCGCAAGAACAGTTCTGGGATGTTTAAGATCACATTGCAGGGTGAAGGGAGTTAAACATGGCGTTAGTAACAAGAAGCTACTAGGGGCTCCTGGCATCGCTACTAGGAGCAAGGACGCTACTAGGGGCTCCTGGCTGTACTACTAGGAGCATTCTTACTACTAGTAACAAGAAGCTGCTAGGGGCTCCTGGCCTTACTACTAGGAGCAAGGACGCTACTAGGGGCTCGTGGGATCGCTACTAGGCGCATTCTTACTACTAGTAACAAGAAGCTACTGGGGGCTCCTGGCCTTACTA